TTAAGTATAATTTTTTGTAATTAAGCGTAATAGTTTATTTTTAAAATTTTCACTTGCTTAATGTATAAATAATAGAGCTTATTAAACTATAAATTACAAAAATAATATTTTATTGTTTTAAATACTATTCAGTTTATTTTAATGGTTACATTTAAATCAATTAATACTTTGTTACACATTTGAAAGAACTAAATAAATGTAGGTATTTTCAAAATGATTTTCATTTTTATTCGAAGTACTGATTATAACATACTTTATTACTGTAAAGTGTACATCTGCGGTTTTACTAAGAAACTATAAGTATTACTTATACTTACAGTTCGATAAGTTTATAATTAGGTAGGTAAATACAAGTGTTTCGAGATAATTTCATAAAATGTCTTCATGTTTAATTTTGTAATATTATAGGCGTGGAGTTTAGATTTGTGTTTGTTTGTATTATTATTTGTAAGTTTGTTAATATATTCGATAACTGGTAATAAATTTCAAGTTTATCTTAAGTAAATTTGATTTGATTTTTTTTTTTTTAATTTAACATAGGTGAGGTTTTAGTGTTGTAATTCCTCGCTCAACAAGGTATAATGCAGTTTTATGTAAAATATTTTCAAGTAGGTGTTTTTTTTTTTTTTTTTTTTTATTCTGCTTCTAACTACTAACTATCAAAAGAATACCAGTTTGTCAATATGAAGTTTAATTTCCGAGAATTACATTGAGCCTGTTTCTAGTATAGACACAGCAAGAGAAAGTAGGTAGTATTCCAACGAGTTTTTTGAATTTTGCTATTATAATGTTTTTTTGTACTATGTATAGTAGCAGTGAACTGTTTTGAAGTACTACTCATAGACGTTTTTAGGATTAGTTTATTGATCATACACCAATACTGACTATTGAGTAGAACATCGTTCTCCTATTTTTTTTTCACAACCGATGAATCGCATATTATAACACTATTGTAAAATCGATTGAAAATATTCGATTATAAAAAAGGCAAATTATTATTAGTTTATCTTCTGCAGATTTTAATTATTATTCCGTTGCTAAATCAGGTTGAATATGGAAAACATTGAATAGTTATATCAATTTCTATATTGATTTTATACCATAACTCAGTTGGTGGCATGACTTCGAATAGAATAAGAATAGTATGAATAGTTATCGAACCAAAGGATTCACGTGAATAGATTCCGCTTTGTTTGATCGTTAATCATAATTTATAATTTCGTTTTCTTTGCATTAAATTTGTTTCATTTCTTGTATCGACAATTTATATGGATTTTCATAAGACATTATCGATACTAAATATAATTACATTGGTAATATAAGTTTAATACTTAAATAATAAGGACGTATAAGAAGGAATTGTAGTCAAAGTGTAAATATAGAGTACGAGTATGTAATATGGTATGTATTTTATTACTGATAAACAATAATTCATTTTTTATTCGACTGGGATTAATTATAATAATATTATATTAATTATTAATAATTAAAATTTAGTTATCTACGAGTATAATATTGTTGTGCAATGAATGAGCTTCATCTCTATGTCTATCTTAGTAGCATTTTTAACAACGAATATAGTACTTATAATAATAATGATAATTTATAATAATCACGACGGTTAAATGTTAAACAGTTCTTCGGGGTTTTTTGAACTGTGTAAGTTCAATTTAGTTGTTGTGGTTAAAATTCGAAAAAAAATAATAATTATTATTTGATTATAAGTCGGATAGATAATTAAGTTTTTCATACTGATTCTTTCTGTAAATATATAAAAGCAACAATGTAAAATAAACGGTTCAGAAAAAAATATATGAAATCTATTATTTAGTTCAGTGATTGAACACAGGGCTGATTGACAGGTCGATCAGGACTGATTCACAGGGGTTTTAAACAATGCTTTAGAATATTTAGTGCATATTCAGTGTTACTTAATGGTTGAGTTAATTTGCAGTTTAATCAATGGATTTTTAGTGAATAAGTTTTTTTTTTTAAATTTTTTTATTTATAAATTATTCTGGGACGTTACATTAATATGGGTATAAATGTTTCATGGTATTTTGATTGTGGTAATAATTAACATTGTTACAATTAGTAAATACCTATTTTGTCTGAATTAAATTCCATTTATACTTCCTATATTAAATTATTAATTCATAATATGTAATAGGAATTTAAAAATACAATAATATTTTATATGTACTTATACCTAACTGATATTTGAATTGTTCAAGATAAAATAAATCAACAAATTGTAAATATATTTTAGTGACCACTAAAAATTAATAATATCTTATATACTTCTGTATAGTTATGTCTATCGCCATAAACTCGAAAGGTTCACATATATCGCACATTGTAGTGATATCATCAGGGGCGGAGTGGCCCACCGGGATACCGGGAAAAATCCCGGTGACCTGGAAGCTAAATAGCCCACTGGCCTGAAGAGTGTAGATAGAAAAAAAAAATTTTAATTTATTCAAGAGATAAAAATGTTGAATAGTTTGGAGGAAATTTATTTTCCTGGCCTGAATTTTTTTCTCACTTCGCACATTATTGTCACATTATTGTTATAGGTGGTAAATATTTTGTGTGTGTGTGTGTGGTGTGTACAGTATTTAACTGGATTTTAGGCTTTGCATTGTCTAATTATTTATTATTGTGTTGACATATATTTTCTATTATTTGATACCATAGACGTGTAAAAAAAATTGTATACATATGTACCATATTAATCCTTAAATCCTATAGAATTGTATATAATCGATTTTTGATTGATTAAGATTGCCATTTATAGTTGATAGATACCTATATATTTATTATTAGTACTTTATGTCTAAAAGTAAAACTGCACTGTATAATAACTTTTTTGGTATGATATAATAATTTACAACATATTGATCGGATTGTGCTAGCTATTCCCTTCCCCATTAGTTTTGTTTGTATTTTAAAGTATTAATTAATTAAGTCACTTTAATGAATCGAAGTACCGACATCTACCCCTAGAATAAGTTTTCGAATATATTGGTTTATTATGAATTACTATTTTTAAATATGTAATCAGTAATAATAAAATAACTTCAATGATTTCTAAAATTCCAGTTTATACGTAAAATAAATTTCAAATATTTAATAAATAATTAAAATTTATAAAAGCTCAGAATAATATCAAGTATTATTATTATTTATATTTTCAAACATTGAAAATAGTATTTAGAACCACTGAATTTTATCTATTTCACGAGTTGTACGACATTCTATATGTGAAGTGTAGAATTTACATTATTAAGTGTTTTATTAACTTGACTTAAATGATATTGTCAAAATTGTATACCTATTATATTAACACTTGAAAAATATCATTGTATTTGTAGGAATTTATTTACTTCAAATTTGAATACTAATATTATTTCATATACTATACCAATCTTCCATCAATAATGTGTAGAAAAAAAATTAAATATGTTATATAAATTATTGATGGAATATACCTAACTGTTTAAATGGATACATGGTCAATAGTGTACACATTATGTTGCCTGTTACTATGTAGATGCATCTTAAATATACTATCATAGTTTTGTACTAATACATGTATAAATTATTTTGTGATTTTCAACAACTAATTACCGATAAATATTCAAAAATGCTGACATTTATCAATAAGGAAATGTCATTAACTGAACTATCTGTTGACTATTGAAGAAGATAATGATTTATCATTGTTTTTAAATTTTATATAATATTATTACTGACATTACTATATCCATATTACAATAAATGAAGTAAAACGAATTTTTATTCTTAAATTTAATAACAGGTCAATTAATTCAATAAATACACTAATAAAGAAAATTGAATTTATGATGTTAATTTAAGTTATGTTGCGTGTATGATATAATAAACAAAGACAACAAATTGATATAACACAGCCCTACAATAAGTATTTAACAATAACGTACAATCATTCTCGATTGAATTTTTTTTATATATATATATATTTATATATGGCTCAAAATATTTAATATAATGTAGGTTTTTACTCTAAAGGTCTTACGTGATTATTTATCGACTTAAGATAATGAATTATTTTAGAAGGGTTGGTTTTTGATTTTGTTATTAGTTTTTTTTAAGAATAAGGAATGAATACGACCAAAAGTTATATAAAGGTAGTTGAGTTTTTGGCGCATATGAGATTTTTATAGCAAAAATAAAACATCAAATTCAGATAATATTTTATTGTGTTCTTATTATACAGTTCAATTATTACTATTAGCCATTAGGTACAAATTAATAATAATTGGTTTATCATGAAATCGTATTTTATAATTTTAGTTGTAAATCATACTAAATCATATTAACCAACTTATTACGAAGTTTTTAAACAAACAGTTTTTATTTTTATTTATCAGTAATTAGTTTGGTAAGTAAGTTCAAATCTAACCTAACGTGATTGAAAAATACCAATATTTGAGTATATAAAGATAAGGACAAACTAATCTTGAATATGAACATACTTGACTGTATGATTGATGTTTCCGTCTATCAATACTTCTTTGGTAATAATATTGTCTAATGTGATTATTTGATGTTTACACAATAAATTAATACAAATAATTCAATGAATAAGTGCAGATGTAATCATGTTTTACATACAATTTAAGAACTAAAAACTTCGCTTTACCTGTACTGCATAACATAGCATAATAAAACCAATTGATATTTCTAAATGACGATCATCTAATTGAATTACTTGATAAATATACATGGAGTATAGACCAAAAAAATATCTTGTAGAGTTAAATGTAATATAATATTATTTAAAATGTCTACTTATGGTTTGGCTTTTGATAACTTGCTTTTTTGAATATTTTATTATATTTGAATTCATTTAACTTAAAATCATTTTACTTTTTTAGGTTTTAATCTGATTTTATTTAATCATATAGATGAAACAATTTTTTACTATGTAAATTTTACTATATTCATCATGTTTTTAGTGCGATAATACGTCGAGACCAAATGCATGTACAATTGAGTTCATTAGTTATGAAGAAAATTATCCGATCAAAGCAATGACGATTTCGGATAACCAAGTGCCTATATTACAACCTAGAAAGTCCACAAATGTTGAAGGTTAGTAAAATGGTAAATTTTTTAAATACAATTTGGATCAACAGTCATGTAATTGTTTTATAGCTTGGATTGGAGGTTTAGTATCAGTTGGCATCATAAGTTTATCGGGGCTCGTTGGCGCAATTTTTTGGCCACTACTCAACAACCCGAATCGTAAGAAAACTGTTATGAGAATTCTTTTGGGTTTAGCTACAGGATCATTATCGAGTTCAGCTGTATTCCAACTTCTTCCAGAAGTAAGCTTTTTCATAATATCAATATAAGATTGTATTAATATAAATACATTTTAATGTATAATATATACCCGATATACAATATCGTATTTACATATACATTTAATATTCACAAACACTTAAGTGGAAAGTGCGTAATACTGTTTTTAAAGATTTTGAGCTCATTGATTTTACAATTATCTGTTTTTTTTTTTTTTTATTTAAATTTTAATATTTTTTATGTTTTGAGTCTTTTATTATGGAAAAAATGCTTTGATCTTCTATTTTATAAAAAGTTCAGGTAGGTTAGAAAGTCAAAAGTAAAAAAAAATTATATTTTTTTAAACAATCAGGAAAAATAACTTTGAAAAAACGGGAATGTTTACGAAAAACAGATTTTTGACAAAATACTCGTAAATAACTGTTGACTTAAAATATTTACCAAGCATACATATTAGTACCTTGTGTTCGCTTTTAGTAAACGATAATATGAAATTATTAATCATTATTATGTTATAGTATAATTTCTATTTATTTACAGAAATTAACTTTTCAAATATGTCAGGAAACTTAAATATCTAAATCACTCAAACTAAATTGGATTATTCTCTGATTTTCAAACATAATGCATTTTTTAATAAAGTTGAAGTTTATAACTAGCAATATAAAATTATATTTTAACGTATAGTTACTTACTATTGATCACTAAACTTAATCATTAAAAGTATTAAGCAAATTTATTTTTCACTAACACATTACGTTCATTTATTATTGTAACTAATAGAAACTGAAAGATCAGTAATTTACGATTTATAAAAATTCATAGCTCGGGTATAGTAATTTAATCATGATTTTTTTTTTTTTTACATTTACTGATAACCCCGGAAAACTTATCTATAATTATGTATAATTTTGTTGCCAAAGTAATAATATAAAACCTCTAAATATATATACGTAATATTATGCAGGAATATGGTAAAAAAAACATCAAAATTTGTAACATATATAAAATAAATAAACATATATGTTTTTTTGTTTTTGTTTTTATTTTTATATGTATGTGTATAATACATATTAAAATATATAATTTATTACTAGGTATTTATATGTATATTAATAATTGTATATGTTGATTTGATTTGAAAATTTATGAAATAATCAATTTTGTTAAATTAAATTTATTAGGCGTTCAAAATATCAGAGTCGTTTCCTGATTTTAGACATACGGCTCTTATAATGTGGTTGAGCTTGTGGGGATTATATATGATCGAAACGTTAGCCGGCATTATTTTCTACAAAGAAGAAAAAAAAGGTACAAGTACGGTTTATAATTTCAATTCATATAATTTTTTATTTTTTCTTCTAATTTAGACGATTAATATAATATTATGAGGTTTATAGATAGGCATTGATGAACTATCGCCGTCACTTCAGCTTAACAATGCCAACGGGACAGAAATGAAACAAATATCGCACGGTCACGGTCACGGTCACAGTCACAGTCACAAATTAACAAATAAATCAATGGTATGTGTATATAAATAAATAAAACGAGCTAAGTTCTTATTCTTGAATTCGTGATGGCTATATTATTAGTATAAAATAACATCATATTTTTGTATATCATAAATAATAAATTTGTCTGTTTAGGACGATAAGAGCCCGATTTCAACGTTAGCTCTATTGGTGCTGTTTGGTGACAGTCTACACAACATAATCGATGGTATGTCGATTGGTGCTGCGTTCTCGGAAAATGTCACCACCGGAATATCCATATCGATTGCAATTGCGTGCGAGGAATTCCCTCATGAAATCGGTAAGTACATACTTTGTATCGACAATACAAAGTCCAATATAATATAACTGCGCTTATTATAAAGTTTCATTTCACCCTATCACTCATTTACAGCATTGGACATTCTAATAAATAATAATATTGTTTTCCTAGATCTAGGATAGGTACCTATCCAACGAAAAGTTAAATCAATTTATATGAAGATACTTCACAAAAAATAAAAAAAATATTTTCTATGATATCCATCTTTAGCTTAAATTTTGATAAGCATTAGACAACTGTGCAACTGTAAGTCTGTAAAATAATTCTACATATTATATAATATTTATTGTTCCTCATCTACGTACGTATAGTCGTTAAATCACTAAACTAAGGTTTCAGTGTAATTTTCACTGTTCTTAAAAGTATTTTCGAAAAAAAATCATTTATAAAATCAGCATATTTTTTTGATTATCTCAAAATCTAAAATATGAAAATAATAATTTGTGCTGTTACATATTGTTTATTGTTATAATATAAGTTATTATTATTTTTTTAGGAGATTTCGCTATACTAATTCAGTCCGGCATGTCATTCCGTCGTGCTTTGTCATTTAATTTCCTGTCGGCTTGTACAGCGTTTATAGGTTTGGTAATTGGTATTTGTTTGGGAAACATGGAATATTCTGGATTTGTATTCTCTTTTGCCGGTGGGTTGTTCCTGTTCATTACTTTAACACATTTGGTAAGTCAGTACATTAATGCGTAGATCATTATCTTAACTAAACTGAATTCGATACGTTTAACGTTTGAAATTTCATCCTAATATAAGTAGATCACAGTAATTATTTTAATTATTCCATATATTATATGGTAAGAAAAAACATTGTTTTCACTACAAGTTAACTTAAATGAATTATTTTAGTTGTTTTATTATGTTTTTATTATTCATTTTCAATACTCTGGGGGAAATAATTCTCAAAAATTTTATTTGTAAAAACAAAATAATATTGTGTTAGGTAACCCAATTTACATAAATAATATTTTCATACATGACATTGCAATGATTAATCCAATAACTATTTGCTAACATACCATTTAATTGTAGTTTCAAACATTTAAAATAGTTTTAATACATTCGTAAATTGTAGGGGTAGTATTGTGTACAAAAAAATTACCTACTAAAAATCTTAAGGAGTAACAATCATTCTAGAATCTAACAACCTGGTTAATTTTGTTTTTTAATAATTATCTCTAAATAGTGAGTTATATGCATAAATTCAATTTTTGGTTATATTTTAAAACGTTTGGAAATATTAATTTTAAGTTATTTAGGAAATAGGTACCTGATTTAATTTTTTATAAGTTTGAATTTAGTCAAAAGTATTGTTTTTATGACATTTTACAATCTATTTATTTTATTGTGATAATATGAAATTAGGTTACGTATATGAAATATACTGAAAAATGTATTGAAACATCTTTAAATAATGTTCAATTTTTTTTCTTAAAATATATTCCGATTCTTGATTACATAAAATTCCTTTAAAATAAATTGACAACCGTTATTATATTACATAATTAATTAACATAATACAGTATTTGTATATAAATAATGTTGTTTTAACCTAACTGAATTTTACTTATGCATATTACTTAATTTGTTACATACATTAAGTAAGTATTTTTTTAAGCATACATTTTTGAAAATTCGTTTAATTATTGTATTTCATAAGAGATTATTAACCCAATTAAATATTAAATTATTTAATCAATTCAATGGCTACAAATTAAAATTTTATAAAACAAAAAATAAAAAATAGTTGCTTTTGTTGTGCTTGGATTGAAAACGCCACTGACGATGTTATTATATTAAACTAATGGTATTTATGAAATTCAACTACCCTAAATATTATTAAATTCCAGACGAATTCGGAAGCAGCCTGCAGGCATGTTTGCATTATATGTACCTACATATGTATTTACTTTCCTCGATAAGTACTGGTTTATCTTAACTGATGTAATATACTCAATCAGAGTAAAACTAATTATGACACCTAGATATTAAACTTTTATATTTTAACCATTTAATTTAATGAAACAAAGCATCAATTTATTACCTTTTTTTTTTCTCAATTTAAGATGAATTTCGAATAGATAATGTAACAAATCTTAACAATCACTTAAAAGTATAAATACAGTAAGATTAAAAAAGAAATATACTGCTTATTTTGTATCTGAAATTAAGTAATAAAAATTGTGTATTTACAGAATAATAATAAGTTGTCTAGAAAATCCAAATAATATTATTTTACTACATACAATAATTAATACTAATGATAATCGTTTTTTTATTACAGATAATAATAAATGTTTCTTAGCTTGGAAAAATCATAGTTTAGTTTTTAAGAAAAATTTCATTTTTGAATCCAATATTATTCGTTGCTCTGAATTTGTTCAACATACATAAAACGTGAATTACATTGGGTCCGTGGGCTTATTTGTTACTGGCGGTGGTTATTGAATTTGTTTTGATTGCTATAAACAGCATAAACTATATACTATTCTACTTTTTACATTAGTATAACGTGTAAGTATATTTATTTTCTCATTCAAATACCTAGCTACTAAGTACTGAGTGATAATTTCAATAACACTCCACAATATTATATATTTTAATAAAATATATAATTCCCTGTTGTAGTGTAGGTTGTTGTAGTATATCAATTTTAAAATAAAATTCAACTAACCTTTAGCCTAAAATACATTATTAGAAGTTATAAGTTTGTTTATTTGAGTAGATAGTTTGATAGGGATTTGGTTTTAGTTATGAAACTTTCTATGGTGCATCTTGAATTAACACAAACACTGAAACATGCATTGATTATATTTGATACTATAATTATATTTCATCAATTTATTGTCATAAAAATAATCACAAAATTCAAGTTAAATTACTGTAAATATACGAGGCCGTAACTGAAAACAAATTTCTGGAGAGGGACTCAAGTATATTTTACGTTTAAAATATAAAAAACTTATTAATTTCACTATTGAAAAATATATATCGTTATTCTAATAATAATTAAGTATTCAATTTACAATAATTTTTTGCATAGATGTAGTTATTAATTATCTTATACTAGTAAAATTACTCTATATTTTTGAAAGGCAAATTTATTCAAGACGCTTTTTGGATCCATGCTGATTTTCTAAAAATTCTTAATAGAGCTAGGAAATTTAATTGGTTTTCTCCAATATTATTTCGCGAAAATTGTTTTACTTGTTTCAATGTTGAAAACGTTCTATCAGGAATTAATGTCGAAACTGACAATGCAATTAATGCTTTTAACAAAAAATCTTTATTTGAAAAAATAATCAGAATTTAAAGAGCTTAAAGAATCATTTAGACGATTTTTTTTGTAGAATGTATAATTTATTTTTAGTCTATAGTTTTATTTCTACAGACAGTGAATCAATGTCTATAAAGTTGGAATACAAGTTAAAATCTGTAGCTATTGTTGAGATTTTACCATACATTTTTGGTATTAATAAATACAAAGAAAACAAAACTGTTTTATGATCAGAAAACTTATTCTTCAGTTGAATAAAATTGTCGTAAAAGGGAACAACAATTATAACACGTAAAAAAATAGTCTCCTAGAACAATATATTTTTAAACTTTTCAAGATCACGGAACATCAAATAACAATATTATTTTTATACAGAACCCTGTAATTAAAAAACAGTGTATTTGATATCATTAAACTTATAACAAAATCTCTGGTTGTAATCCTCCGATACAGATTAAGTACTTTTATTGGTCATATCTTGAAATAACTGAAGTTTTTCTAAAGTTTTGACAGTAAATTTATGTATATCTAGAAATCTTATCACTTCATCATGGTTTTCGATTCAACAAATTTCGCACATTGATGTTAATTTAATTAATTTTGTTTCAGGAATTATATTCTTTAATTTTATTTTTTAACAATCGAGTTAGCAGAAATCTTAATTCAATTTTCGATCGATTTTATCGTTCCTATACAATTATGAATATAATGAATATTCGAAGTACGGGCTAGTGTCAAATTTAATAAATGTATGCTATAATATACGTAGGGCATTTTTCACATATCACAAATTGTACGCCTTCAAAATTACTCTCATAGATGCTGTTCTACCACAGATTTGTCTTAACATGTGTTGATTATTAAAACTAAGTCTATTTAAATTTTCCAAAATTACTGTTGTCAAATTTTGTTCTGTTGTAGAATTCATCGGTATAAATTGTAAAAATTTTCTTTTAACACATTAGTAATTAAATTACCCTTTTTGACATCATTAATTTGATCCATATACTATATACATAATGGCAATTGTTTTAAGTGAGAAATAACAATAGTTATTTCATTAATCAATAACAAAATACACTTAAATTTGTTCTTTTTCAACTATTTTATCTTAATTCTTAAGTAATTTTTTTCTCAAATATCTATACAATTATTTTAAATCAAGGGACATAAATAAAAAGCATTTAACTTTTTTTATTCTAGATGATCAATTAAATATTTATCAACATATGAAATATGTATTCATAATAGCACGCAAATTGTTATTATTGTGTTAGACAATTTTTGATAGAAGTTATCTTAGATCATTAGTACTACAAAAATCTGTTTATATAATAATTACATTTCAATTATTGGAATTAATCTTTTACAATTTTTATTGATTTGCGTAGCACGCATCAAGTCTAATTTTGGTACAATATTTTGTCGATAGTTAGCTAAAACGGCTGCTCTTAATTTCGATTGTTCGTTCTTCGCTTAAATTTATCTCAATATTATTGTTGTTTATTCTAATATTATATCCACAACGATTTCCAGCGATAGGAATACCTAATCCATATGATATTGTTTTATTTTTTTTTGTTTAGAAAGTGAAGCATTATCAGTCTAAAATAAATAAAATAATAGATTATAAGTGGTCTATAAGTATAGGCATAGTATGATAGTATAAGTCTTAACTAATTTTGATAAAATTATTCTTACAAACATAATATTTTATTATTCATCGTTATTCAAGAAAGTTACCTAATTTTATATAAATGACCATGAATATTTAACATACATATCTTCAGATGTTTGGTAAAATAATTCTGGATTTGATTTATTTTACTTATGTTTCAAACATCAAAATTCAACGCTCAAAGTTAATAATGAAATAAACGTCGGAAAAATAGTTCTATGGACTCTGGCTACAATATTTTACGTAGTGCTATGATTGTTAACTTTCTATATTATTATTTCATGGATTTTTTGTGTCCAATACCCGTAATAAGTTCTGATTAAATTTTTATATTATTTCAAATTATTTTTTTAACGAAAATTTAAAATTAGATTTCTGCTAAAATTATTTTAAAAACTTATAATACTCTTAGAAAATTTGAATGAAATTTTTTAAAATTTAGTTTGTGCATAACAGCAGATATTCTGCATTGTATACTGTCTATGTAAGTAAGGTTACAATGTTATAACAAACGTTTTTTAACCTCTGTTAAAACCTTACAAAATTTCAAACTTAAAACTGTATATTACTATAATACTTAAGAGTTGCTTGCTAAAAAAAAAAAAAAAAAAAAATAATAAAAGATAAAAATAAAATCTTCTTTGACTTTTTATCAGTAGTGCTTATTGCGGAGCGTTAAACAATATATATAAAACAATGGGGGACTAGAAAATT